CCCCCACCAAAAGAAAACAATGCACTCACCAGGTGGGTTTTTGAGAATGAACGTGCAGAGTTTATGGTTTGTGTCAAGCATGCCTCGATAGCCACAGGCTTTGCAAGAGTTACCTATAGTTTGTTTCTTAGGATTGACATGCTGCAAGAAGGAACAAACTCCGGTTAAAAAACTGCTTGCAGAACAACAATGCATTAAAGCCTAAATCTAATGTTTATTTACACCTCAGTAGGATCAACCCAGCGATTTAAGTTCTTTCATCAGCTCCAACAGGGAGTCTCTAGGTTTGGAAGTGGCAAAGTCATGTACTGCTATACATGCGAAGGCCTCCCAGACAGTCCCATAAGGGGGAGGTTATCTTCTCCGAATCGATATTCGGGTCAGGTATCTTAACTCTACACTCTGAGGTTTATGAAAGCGGTGTGGTGTTTCTGCGTTACCGTTAAGACGGACAGAAAGCACTCACCAGATCAGTTTCGGGATTCTCACACTCAGGACAGAGAACAAATTTTTTAATGAATCCATCCAACATGTCTTGCAGCTTATTCGCCTCATGAGATCCATTGACAATGTAACGGTCATTCTTAACATCAAACTGGGTCTGTGCTCCCAGCTCACAACCAAAAAATTTGGTAGGATCTTAAAGAAAAGAAAGTAGAGCAATAGCCAACAGCTCTCTCATAGCAACAGTAAGCAAATACACTATGCCACTTTATGTTACCAGTGGCTACAAAACGGATCCCCTTGCAAAACAACAAAAGCCACCCCAACCCAGAACCATCCTCCCCACCCCCAAACACAACACAACCACACGCGCACACACAACCACCACACCCTCCCCACTTGACACATTCTCATCCCCATCTCCCCATGCTTACAAATTTGTCCTGGGATAACCAATTTTTTTTTAAATTTACAAGTCTTGAAAGAAAGAGCTGTTATATCAAATGTTTTATTAGCTACTACATTGTCACTGCAAACAGTAAAAAGAGCACAATTCCAAGGATACCCTATCACTCTACAGACTACTTACACGTTGGAGGCCGATTAAGCGCCTTTGCAACGTCAACCATGTTGACTATAACCGTCTTTATTCCATTTCCTTTGCCCTCAACCTTTTAAAAAAAAAAAAAAAAGAAAGAGTGCTTTATGGTTAAATGACCACAATAACCGAACCCAGTGAGTATTTCCCATTTCACTGTTATCAGTCTTCCGCTTTTAGAATTGCTTCTTTTTAAAATAGCTCATGTACACCTAGCACGGACTGAAAGGAGCAGATGTCTTCCTTGTCCTAGGCTGGCTAACTAGGCACCGATATCATTACCTCACACCTCAACTCTTCTATCTAGAGAGGAAAGCAAAATCCTACACATTTACCAGTAAAAGTCAGTAAATTACCTTGGCAATCAGACGGGGCATTTTGTAGCGATAGAACTGATCTGAAACACTGCGGTTGACGTTGACAGACATTTTGCCTTATTAGTAGCTTTATCAATAAGATGAAGAGATCTTTGATTGCAGTTTTTTGGTATCTTCTGTCTGGAGAAGACGGGATGACATAAACGACTGCAAGAGTTCTCGGTCTCTGACATGAAAAAATTTTCGCCACTGAGGCTGTAAGGTTCTTGCTTGTATGCTATGTTTCCCCAATACAGGTACCAGTGGCTGCGCAACAGCTCTGCAAGTGTTAATAAACAGAAGAAATGAAGTTTACCTTGCTGTGCACCCATTAGGTCTCGTCACAGAGCTACATAAGGGATTGTAACTACAGAAAGTTACTTATCTTCTGGCTTTCTGAGTTTCAGCTTGTGGAATGTTAAGACAGTAGCCTTGAATCGTACTGTTGATACGATTCCCTCATCTGATTCACAGAACTTCCTACCCTATTTTTTTTTTCTTACTACCCAAAGAACATCCGTACACCATAGGAATGTCTTCTGTATGTCTAACTCCTGAATGAGTGCTGCAATCACAATGGAAGAGAAAGAAACACCGCTTGATTTATTATGCGGACCAATGTCACTTGCACCGAGAGGGTCATGTGATATGTTTCAGGCTGCAGGGCAGAGGGAAGCAGGAGAAAGATCTGGAAAGCAACTTCAAATTCCACATCATAGCATTAACCTATCACATAAACTGAAGTTTGTCAGGATGTTCAGAAACATCAGTAAGATGAAGCAGCAGCAATCTGTAGTCCAACAGAATTTTCACATGGCTTACCAGTGGTTTTTTTTTTTTTTGACTGGAGTGGAAAAGAGTTGAAAATTAGGTAATTCTCCCTCTCAATTATGGATTCTCACAGCAGCTTCTGTTGAGTTTTGACTTAACAATAAGCCTGATAAAGTCTGACAGAAGTTGCTTCACTGTAGAAAGCCTAGCAATGCAGAGGTACAGAGCAGTGCAGCAGCTTTTCCAGTTGTTTTTTTTTCTTGGGAGGGAGGGGGAAAGGTGGGGAGGAAGGGGAAGGAGGATGAATCCTACTATTGAAGTTACCTTAAGCAGTATTTACATATTAAAATTAACATGTGTCTCTACAGTCAGATGCAAGACTACTTAAGCCACAAATAGTTGGGTTGACTAGACAGACAACCATGATTACAGCTGTTATTCCAACACATCATCATGTTGTTACCATTAATGACAGAAACAATGACACACTGAAACAACTATTCTTAGTATTTATGCATAAGAACACGTCTATTGGTTCCACGCAGTCCAAGTCCCTTGGATTAGGTTTGTGTGTCCTTCATACAGAAAGAGCCATACGCAGATTTGTATATATGTGTATTCTATATTAGTCCAGAGGCAGTTTTACCCTTCAGAAAAAAAAATGCGCCATGGATTTTATTTCAAGTCCGATACTTCCTTCCTCGTTTACAGTTAGGAGGAGCCACCACGTGATCTGACCACGTGTCCGCCGAAGCACTGAGGAAGCAGGTATCTTGGTGACTGAGCATGAGCTCTCAGAAAGAATGTGCGGTTTCTCCTCCTTCCCTGCTTTTGTCTACTGCGGATTGAAGCTCCCTCTCCTGGTCCCTAGGACACCTCATCCCAAACATCCTTCCCCCCAACCCCGTTCAGCACGAGAAAAAGCAAGAGGGCAGACAGACTCCCTGCTTAAGCGCACTGTTTCCCCGCCCCACTCAGGCCTGTGATGACTCACAAATGCAGCAATTAAGCACTGAGTCAGCCTTGAAGGGGGGGAGGTCACCTCCAGCCACGCATGCGCTCTCCAGCAGAGAAAGGGGGGACGCTCC